CCCCCACCCCACCCCAAGGCGCTATTGATAAGCTGCATGGTCGCTGTGGCCGCCGCACCCGCAGCTTGGCCCCCGTGCGCGTGGCGTCAGTGCATGGGGCGCCGCTGTCCTAAGGTGCCGGCGTCGGCGCCTCCATTCATCGCCCGCAGCATGGCGGCGCTTGGCGTCTCCGTACGCAGGCAGTGCTGCTGTAAGCGGCGGGGACGGCGGCGGTCGGACGCAGCGGCTCGTGCTAGAGGCTACCACAGCAGGTGCTGTCTGTTGTGGGCATTTCCAGTGCACATATAATCCCTCGTGGTCAGCTCTGGCCCACCTGACGCCTTGTAGCAGCATCCCTCAGAGCAGTGCTGGCCAGCACCCTGCAGCCGGCCGCCTAGCTATTCCATACGCTGCGCTTGCCGGCCAACAATAATTTGGTAAGAAGAGAGGGTTCATCATCAAAAGCGTTGGAAACTAGATTTGTATGGAAGGGCATCTGAAACTTGTATTAACGGGGGGGAGGGGAGGGTGTGTCGGCTACTGGCACGGTACCGCGTGGGGGTACGCCGAAGGTACATGCGCCCCGCCCCCTCAGGAGCCAGAAGGCCGGAGGGCTGTAGGTAGGCACGCGCCGCCAGCCGAAACCAAGCGGTGTGCTTACCAGTCCCACCATCTCGCTGATGACAACAGGGGATACACAAGCCTTAGATTGGGTTTCATGGGAACAGCGGGCAGCCCAAAATGTGGATTTGGGGAGGAGGGCACTTGGCCAGCACCGTTTACATTCACACACTGATAATCGATAGATGTTGCTGTTTTGATTTCACTGATGATTTTACCCTGCGATAGCGCTGCCAAACGTCTCACCGTGTGCCACAGCCTGCAGAGTCGCTCTGACAGGAGACACTCAAGGCTCACAGCATCGGCAACTTGTCGCACGAAGGCAGGTGTGCGTTGAACGTGCCCACCGGTAGCCACCTGACTCTCAGTCACACAACGCCGGTGCTCTACTGTACAATCCCATGAGCCTGGATGGCTCCAGGAGCGGGCGACCGCGGGACGCTGTAACAATCCTAGTCCTAATCCACCGAACGAGCCAGAAAGGCGAGCCAAACGCACTGACACCGAAAAGTGACCATTCCCCTGCAAGCTATCAAGGTGTTTTTGACAGCACCTGCAAACAGAATGAAGCCAGTAACCTGCAGTGACAGCCCAGCTAAAATATAGATGTGGCACCGACGGCCTTTGCGCTGTTTGACTGCTGCCTTCGTTGTACAAGTATCATGTATGCCTGCAGGCAGCTCTCAACGTCCTTGCTGGGGCTGGTGCCTCAGCCACAGCAAAATCGGGGTGCCCCTCTTTGGCCAGCGCAGGCCTTCGTGGCAGCAGGCCGCCCATTAGTAGTCTGGCAAGACAGACACCATGCAATCACTTCACAGCTTAGTATTGGTGGCTGCGACTAGGAGTGACTTTTCAACTTTCATGCAACAGTCACAAACCAACTGATCAGTCTATTGCATCATTTTTACTTGCGCATTCGCTTTATATAGCTTGTTCACGATGCCGTCCCCAATTGTGTAACCATCTATCTATGAAGCACTGCCGCTGTTTCACCGTGTGACAGCGGGCCCTAATGCATCCCCTTGATCCAGCTGACAGATGCTTATCCAGCATCACATGGGGCCCTTGCGTGGTTCCTTGGCCCCACAAGCCTCACAGCATTGAAGCTCCCAACTCAAAATGTTTGATCATGCATGAGCAGATTTGGCAGAGTGTGGGCAGATGCCCACATCATGACTGCGCCGCAGGAATCTTCGTCTGACTTACATGTTTGCTTCTTGTTCGGCGCGTCTTTCGAAGGGTACCGTGCAATTGTGTTTTACCAAAGCAGACGGGAAGCGAAGCCTTGCGCGTGCACAGATGCATGACATGTCGACATCCACCCAGCAGGGCCGCATTAGTTGTGCGTGGGGCTGCCAGCATCATGCTGCTGGCATGACGCCCACACCATTCGGAAGGCGGCAGCACTGAGAAACCCAACCACCAAAACTCCATTTCAAGCGGTAAGGACACAGTGCAGCGGACAAATGGGGGTGCAGAAGTATTCGATGCACCCGAGCTTCAGAAGAAATGCCAGGGGCTAGAGGACCGCCCATTCACAAGCCGGCGCAAGAGGGGGTTGAGCGCACGGCCAAGCACATCACACGCTTGGTTTTTCAGAGACAACAACTGATAATGGGGCAGGCAACAAGCACACGCACGAAGCGCTGTATTCACCTGAAGCCGTGGATTTTGCCCTCAACTGAGCAGCAAGGCCGCGCCACATGGCTATTTGAAGCCAGCGAGCCGGTATGGCGCGGCGCGGCTGCAGCCGCGTGTCACATCCCACCCAGTGATCGGCCACGTTGGTAGATAGTTGAAAGGGCATCAGTGCGAGAAAACTTGCAAGCAAGGGAACAGCCACGAGGTCCCCCACGTTGCGCAAAAGGTGCAAGTGGGGTCGTTGACGTGCGGGCCGCCGCCGCCCTAGCCCTGCGCCCACGGCAGGCGCTGCTCACGGCGCTGGGTGCGTACGTATTCACACAAGCCCGCGAGCACGAAGCGCGGCGGACCAATCGGCAGTCCAGGCATGGGCCCGTGATGCGGTGATGCACAGGCGCGACTAACAGGCAGCCGTGCTGCTTCAGGGCGGCTAGCTGTCTGCGTCCTGGGAGGGCTTCATTGGGGCCGCTCTCACCAGCCGGGGGCGCCCCACGCGAGCAGTAGGTGGGTTGAGGGGGCCCCGGCCCTGGGGCTGGTGGACTCAGGGCCAGTTAAAGGTGTAGGCAAGCTGGGAGGCCAGGCTGTTGTATGTGTAGCCAGGCGCCGACACAGAGTTGACCGTGAGTGTCGCGACGCCGATTGGCAGCGTCGAGTTGGGCGACAAGAACACCTGGGTTGGGGGTGAGGGCGAGCGGCGGGGGCAGGTGTTGGTGACGTATTCAAACATAATTTGTTACACCCTTTGACAGGTAGCATCATGTGTATTGATCAACTGACAGATAGATAGACAGATGGATTGCATACCTGTGCACTAATGCAGGCCGACCACACCATGCTGCGGGGTGCCAGCCACTTGGCCACTTTGTGCAAGTGCCGCGAGAGCATGCTTCCACCATCTGGCGCAAAAGGTGCGGCGCCCCCGCCCTCCCCCCAAGAAAAACAAACCGCACCTGGAACGTGCCGGCGGACGAGGTGGTGTAGGTGACGTTCCGGGAGGTGGTCAGGGGGTTGTAACCGGGTGACGCCCAGGTGCTGCCAACGGTGATGGTGGCGCCGGCGATCGGCGCGGCGGCCTGATTCTTTGCGACGAGGGTGGCGTTCACGCGGTAGGAGGTGGTGGTGGTGCCGAGGAGCCCCGGGGACGTGCCCTTGACGATGGTCGAGTTGAAGAGCGAGAGGCGGATCTCGTTGGCGGCCGCCACCGCGGGGGAGGGGTACTCGAGGGCGATGCCGTACTCGCCGAGCGACGCATAGTTCGAGTAGTCGGTGTCGCCGACGCCGGTGGCGGAGATGTAGTAAGTGCCCGCCGCCGGCAGGTTGAAGGTGAATGTGCCGTTCAGGATCGCGCCGGCGCTGTTGAACGTCGCGAGCGGCACCAGGCCACCGACGGTGTGCACCTCAACCCGCAGGTCCACGTTGGCGCGGTGGTTGTTGAGCGCCACCGTCGGGGGGGTGATCGCGACGGTGACGCTGCCGGCGCCGGCGCCCGCAGAGAAGGACAGCCAGTCGGAGTCGCCGGTGCGCTCGATGTTGCCGACGGCGGCAGCCTTGCTGCGGGCAGGGTTGGCGGCAATGGGGGTGCCGATGAGGGGGGAAGCCTGCAGGAAGCTGTTGCCGTGATCGTCGGCGCGGTAGGCCAGGAAGCCCAGCGCGTTGACCATCTGCTTGGTGGGGTCGGTGATGATGGCCAGGTCATCCTGCTGGTTGTTGGCGTTGGGGTACTCGCCCTTGCTGAACTGGGAGATGTTCTTCTTGTAGGCGTCCTGCGGGGGTGACGGGGATAGGGTAGATAGCACGTAAGGATGGGGGGTGTGATTGGCGCTGGTCAGGTTGGGGCGGTGTCTGTAGGCTGCGTTGTGCCTGCAGCTGCCAAGCCTCGTGCAATTCGGCACTGCTGAGCAGCAGATTGTGCAAGGGGGCTACCGTGGATGTGGGAGCGATGGGAGAGCCTCACAACTGAGGCCGAGCCGTGTTCCAATCGCATTTTGATCTCCGGCAGAGGCGTTGATGCAAGCTCAACCCCCAAGGCAGCAGACCAATCCAGGCAGCAAGCCGTGTGGGAGCAAAAGCACGTGCACTCACCCCCATGATGGGCGCCCAGACGCCAACACCCTTGGAGTACTCAATGCCAGGCTCGCCGTCGTGATCCAGGCCCAGGGTGTGCCCGACCTCGTGGCTCGTCGCCTCCCACACGTGCTTGGGGTTGCCCTTCTTCAGCTGGGCAGGGAACACAAAGGCTGCGTTCGCGCAAGGGAGAGGAGCCGGAGTGGGGAGACGTGCGCGGCCCAGTGAGGGCAAGCGGGGCTGGCAGATGCTCTCACTGGTGGGCAAATGTGCACGCGGGCGGTGGAGGAGCGCGGCGCGGGAGGCCTCTGCCGCCCCGGCTTAGCATGCCGCTTTCTGCCCTGTGCCGCCTCCCTGCAACACACGCGAACGGATGCCGTCCCCTCTCACCGGGCTCCAGGTAGTCGCTGCCGAACCCGTCGACGTATGCGATGCCGCCGGCGC